TGCTGATTTATGGGGCAAAGGTAGTTGATGTCAAAGCTGTAGTTACAGGATGGGCTTTACAGATTGCATCAGTGTGAAATTCACTGGTATTTTGCTGAAATGCCTTACATTTATTACTGCATTTATTTTTTAAGGCTACATCACTGATTTTTAATTTTACAATGAAAAGCCAGGATCTGCATAATGGATTTATTTTAGTCTTAACTTTGGATAAATGTTTAGGAGTCTTGTTAGCAGGAGCAGAACTGTGGTTCAGCCTCGCTACGGTCTGTGTCTCCCAAACAAGATGTTATTAGGCTGTGGCTAGATTGTGATTACTCGTCATCGGTTAGGTCGGTTCTGCTGGCTTCCTTTTCTCTTAAGCTCCGCTGCCTTTCCACAGTTCTTGACTAACATCTGCCCGTGATGCCTCTCCTCCCTCTAGAACAGCAAAACTCATTTCATTAATATACAAAGCAAACGTTGCTTGCACACGTATTGCTGTACAGGGCATCTTAGGGTTCAGTTAAGCACTAAAGTATGGATTTGGAAGTCCTCAGCATCCCTTCCAGGTCTTAACGTTAAGGCAGAAGGGCTCACCACGCATTTAACTTCAGAAGTGCCTAAATCATCTCAGTGTAACTCAAAATAATATGTTCACAATCAGTTTCTAAGGCAGCTTATTAAATTTAAGCATGATTTCAGGGTCTGCTAGTTGGAAAAGCTTAATTCTTAGGGGCTTGGGTTGTTCCAGCACCATGCGGTGTACTCTGCGGATAGCTGAACTAACACGGAAGGAGTTGATGTGTACACACTAAAGAGTCCAGCACCTTCCAGAGACTCGTTTGAGTTGAAGCTCAATGCATGAGCGTGGTGCTCAGCCCAGGCTAATTTGATTGCACGTTCCAGGTTTGGTGTTTTAGCTGTAGAGCTGCTCAAGGTAAGCCGTTCACACAGAATTTGAGTATCTCAGTACAGCAGTTGTGTCACATAGTCTCACTGCCTTTTGAGCTTTAGGGCTTGTTAATACATAGGAATTGAACTATTTCAAGAAAAGCTCTGTATCGCGAAGTTATACAAAAGTAGAATGATTCCCCCCCTAACATAGTACAAATGTGATTTTACTTTACTTAGTGCAATGTGCCATTAATATAAACAGGAGAAACAGTGATTAGGTATTCCGTAAATATCTTTACTTCCTGCCAGAAATAAAGACTTAGTTCTTCACTTGAAAGAATTAAGAATTCACTTAAGAATTAAGAAATTATCTTTAGTTGAGTAGGTTTTAGTAATGGAATATGGAGAGCTGATCAGCTCTCTGCTTTCCAGATAATATTCTTTGCTCCCTGAAAAACGTATTGGTAGAGGACAGAAAGTGCTGTAATGCACATCTGTATCACTTCAGCAATCTTGCATTTGACACAGATTTACCCCTTCAAACAGCATGGTCTCTGTCTCTCAGTGTTTGCGTTTATGTAGCTGCCTTCTAAAAATAAAACCCTGCCAGAACAGGAGTGGATTACGGTGCATGGACGATCCTCTCCTTATCTGTTAAGCCTTGGCATTGCGAGTGGTAGGAGCATGTTATCAGTGGTAAAGGAAGTATTTGAAGCAGAATCACTTCCGCCTGCGGAGGCATCAGCTGCCAGGAATTCCTGTTACGAACTCAGCAGTATTGTTTGCTGTTTGAATGCCTTTGGCAAGCTGCAGCCTTCCAGCCAAGATGATGGGCTGCCTTTTAATGGTGGCTGTGGTTTGCGCCTGTAATTGTATTTTCCTGTTGTGTCTT